ACTTATCTTGCTTATCTTTTGGGGTTAATCAGTTTCTCTGTTCTTGCAGGGATGTCACAGTTTGTTCCATCCAAAGCAACTTATGTTTGGCTTTCACAGTGGTATGCATTAGTCTAGAAAGTTAGGACCCTAAGCTAAGAGATGCTTTGTCTGTCGAGGCAGCTTGTATCAGTAATTGTACAACCCTCTGGTATAAGGAAGTCTAAAGACACCATCCTCAACTCTGGAGCTGTGCTGCATCAAATAGGGAGCTCAGACTTTCCTGGCAATCATTTCAGGCAAAATCCTTTGGTAAGCACTGAGCCTTCTCCAAGAGTCACTGCTCTGGAGTCTTCTTATTGATCTCTAAGAGCCAGTCGGATGGATACAGCTGTGAATGGGGTTGAAGCGGCTCCATGAGCAGCAAGCAGGCAGTGTCCCACACCGCATCCTCCTGCCTTCCTGGCAGGGCATATCTGCAGAGCTGCTGTTGGCTTTCCGTGAAGTTTCTCCTTGGAGTCCCTCCCACTCTCATGAGCTGTCCCTCAGCACACCGCTCCAAAAGGAAAGGTAAATGCATTGTTAACGATTTGTTAAAATCATCCATTTTATGTTTACTCATATTCTTTACTATCTGTGGCCATTTAACAGTCTTAGGGAATGAACAAATTGTCCTTAGTATCTGAAATATAAAGAAAGTCTAGAGACTCATCGTAGCAGACGGTTTTGTTCCTCTTCTCTTACGTAGCCTTTTGAGCCAACACAGGGCCAGACTCATTTTCTTTTCTCCTGATGATAACATTTTTATCTCAGGTGCTGAATTGCTCCACCCATCCAAGGAGCTCGGGCCTATGGATATTGATGCTTTTTGTCAACGTTTTCCTCAACTAGCATTTCTTGAGAAGATGCCCCTCTGCTGAAATCCCTTCCACCCACTCTCTGCCAGGGAGCCTCCTCTTCCTCTTCCCACTCACATTGTCTTCTTCCACTCTCTTAGGACTCCTGGAAGGGAAGCTTCCCACTTTTTCATGGAAGCAAACTAACTTATCAGGTTTTGAAACTGTTACATGTCTCAAATGTAAGACAGATGCCTCCTGTGGCTCTTGCCTTTGTTTCCACCTTTGTGCGGCAAGAAGACTATGCTGTGCCTCCTTCTGGCATTCCCAGCCAGGTCTCTGTTCCCTGTTCTAGCTTCTCTGTCTCTCATTGGTTCAGTAAATCTGGTTTGGGTGGCCAGAGGTCAAGGTTCATAGGTGGAGGCAGGAGGTGGTGGGAGAGGGGTGATGGGGACATTTTCTCCTTCTCTCAAAGCAAACTGCACCCTGGGTTGGCATTCTGGAAATTTGATGAAGGTGGAGTGTTGGCTGTGTTACAGCATCACTTGAGTTGGGGGCAACCCCTGGTTGATGGGTGCTTTACTGGGAATGTCTGCTGGGAGCCTGTGGCTTTGGGCTTCCCCAAGCACAGTGACCTGAACTGAGTATGACTTCTGCAAGAACCCCGGAAATGATGCCCAGGTGGATCCTATACCCATGGTTGTGGGTTTCATCTTCTTGCTCCTGAGTTACTGTTTGGGAGCCAAGAGAATAGCCGGGGACTAGGAGGTGGAGTGCAGTGATGACTCCCTGCAGAGGAAAGCCCGACTTGCCATCCTGGAGGCTGTAGTTCCTGTCCTACATTGCCCTGAGTGAATCTAATGCCAAGTGTGCTCTCTGGAAGTCCCCATGAGTCAGAATGTCTAGTTGAGCCTACAAATAAAGGTATCCCTGGCAGGAATTGCAGGCTTTACCCGATTCTCCCTCCAGAGAGCCCCCAAAAAGTGGATATTTTTGCACCCAATTGTGCAGTGTGATGCATTTTCCCTCTACTGGACAGAATACTGCACAGAAGGAGAAGCTGAATTTCACCCTCAAACCACCACCATCACTACTGGTTATCATCATTTCACCATCATCAAAATCCCCATCATCACAACCCCAAGATTTGTGGATTCTCACCATTGCCTGGCACGTCCCCCTCTCTTGCAAGATCACATATTACTCTTTTTTATTTCCTCTCCCAGCATTTTCCCCTGCGGACAGCCTCTCCTAGGAAAACACTGAACTGAGAGTCCTACTCCGCTGTGGGAGTCAGCCTAAGACAAATGCTTCTGTGTCAGAATTTCACAATCTGAAAAATGGGAAGACGAATCCTTGCCCCCGCAGTCATGCTCTGAAATGGTCTAGGTTCTTATTATAATCAATACAATGACAGAGCGGTCTGAACTCCTTAAAGGTGAGATGGTCTAAATGTCAATAGATCTCACCACTTTCCGATGACACTGAAAGCCATTGGGGTCCCTCTGCATTCCCTCTCCCATCCCATAGCTGTCTCCAAGCAGTCACTGGCTTGTCAGCACAGAATGGATAAATTGTGGTGTGCTTTTGCATCTTGGGTTATTATGTTTTCCGAAGAAAGGAAAACAATGAAAACTCTCAATAGTCAGCCCACTCTGCTTCTCCCAATAAACTGAAGGACTGAGTGCCACATGTGCATAAGAAAAAGAGTGAGAGAGATAGAAGTGGGCCAGGGAAAAGGCAAGCAGCTAGAAGAAAGCCAAGAAACAGGAGGAGGAGGAGGAGAGATGGCACAGAGCCTTATTCAGAGAGAAACACCACGAGAAGGAGAGACCAGAGCACCGGGCCAGCCTGAGCAGGAGCACTGGGAGGCTCAGAGCCACAGGAAACAGACCTATGCCTGACAGCCCCCTTGCGAGTGGGCCCAGGTGCACTCAAAGTCACAGGTGGCAGGTTTCCCATAGGTCACACCATGGGACTCCTACTATGTGGTGCAAGAGAGCTAATGGAATGAGCACTGGATTGTGAGTCAGGAGAACTCGCTTTTAATCCCAGATAAGAACCTTGAGCAGATTATTTCCTCTCTCTGAGCCTCAGTTCTCTCAGTTGCAAAGCAAGCAAACTAGACTGGTTGATGACCTGGTCTCTTCTATGTTCAATTCGGTCTTCAAATCTGTAGAGCCATTGGTGGTAGCAGGTATTTATCCTCCTCTCTTTTGTCCATGCTCCCTTCAGGGAAGGAACATATTTCCCTGCCCGGTTACCCTATTGATGTTGGACTTACTAATGACTAGTGTTAGCCAATAGGCTGTGGGTAGAACGGACAGTGCACTAGTTCTGAGCAGATGTTTTGAGATGCATTGCAAGTTTCCACCAAGCCCTCTTGTGCTTCTGCATTCAACCAGGAAAACAGCACACCCAGTAGTCCCTGCTCCTTTAGCCTGGGTCCCAGCATGAGGAGACACTCAGAGCAGGCCTGAACCCAATGCACAACCAGAAGTTAAACCCAGCCAACCTCAGCAGAGCCAAAGCCATCTTCCAAACCCCTGAATGGGAAATAAATGTTTGTTGTAAGGCACTGCGATTTGTGGAATTGTTTGTTATTGCAGCCAGTGCTGACTAGTTGACTAATACATCATGTGACAGGAAAGCATGTCTCATAGAAGGACACATCAGAGACTGATCTAAAGCCTGCCTGAAGGAGAATGAAGGGCAGCTAGAGGGGCCCCTCCACTGTTTCCCCCTTCCATGCCAGAGCTGCTATAAACCTCCATATGGAGACACACTTGGCTTTTGGCATCAATAATCCAGGGCTCAGCAGGAGTAGGAGGAGAGTTTGGTGGGAGGGGGAAGGAAATTAGAATGCATCAATGTCAAATTGTTCCCCGTTCATAGTCCTCCAAACCTGGGCCGCCTGCTCCTCTCACTGCCTAGGTGCTATAATGAAAAGACTCTTGAACTTGGAGTTGATATATTGGTTTAGCTAACTTGGAGAGACAGCAAGATGGCTTAGACAAGTTTACAAGTTCCAGCATCTCTGGTATCTGGCTACTATAACAAGTATGCAAGTCTCCAGGCTTTTCTGATCCCTAATATTAAAGAACTCCAAAGAAATTCACACAAACATCAGTCCAGCCAAATTCTAGCTAATAGATATTTTTCTGCCAAACAGAGAAGTGTAGCATATTTAATACAATATACTAATAACGCCCAGAGAGGATCACTGTGGAACTCTAATGTTCCCAGGACTGTGACTTAGGGGATAACCTGAGAGTTCTAGGGTGGGATGTCTGACCAGAGCTTCCCCACCTCCTTAGCTGCTTGAACCATGTCTTCAGAGCCGCAACAGAGCCACAATCATCTGTTGGGCGAGGGAGGGGAAAGACCCAGCCCTCCACCACCAAAGCTACATGGTGGAAGAAAGGAAGAATACAAACTTGGGGGTGGTGTCAGGGAAGGAGTAGGATCTAAAGCAGTGGGTTCCAATTTTTTTTTTCTAAAACACTGAAACCTTTTAAACAAAACTTTATCTGGAACAGAAATACATGTAAATAGATAAAAGAACAGATGCCATGATGAAACAGGAGTGAGAATTTGAAGCCTCCCTGTGCAACATTCCTTTTCCATTCCCTGGTTGGGATGGGGGAGCCTGGAGCTGTGTGTGAGGCCCCAGTACTACACAAAGCTGGATAACCACTGGACTAGAGAAACTCACGGCATTGAAACAGGCTTAGAGAAAGCTGGAATAAGGCAGGGAGTGGGAGCAGATTCAACCATGGCTGTCTCTAGGCAGTTTGCTGTGAAGAGAATGGAATGAAATGGGCAGGCATCCCTTGTCATGCTTGGCAGTGTAGGGTGCACAGTGGAGAGGAGGCCATGCACACCCTGCTTGAGGTGCATAGACTTAACAATTTTTCTCAAATCCTCCTAGAGGCAAGCCTCATCTTTATCTTCAACCGTGCAGACAGGTTTGTTTGGGAAATATCTAGATCTTCCTTCTTTTCCCTGCCTCCTCCCCCTTCCCATCCACTCCTTGAATCCAAGTCTCTGGCCTCTCCTGAGCTCAGAGGTCTCAAGCCTGGCGCCGTATCTGCTTCAGCCTCCCACAATGGGGGATCCTGAGGGATCTGTCCATCCCACGAGCACGATTCCCCACTTCCCATAGAGGCAAGCCCCCAGACCCACCTATGCACACCACGTCCATGAAGCCATACATCCCATAGCAGATCTGGAAGAGAAGGTCTTGGCGCTGCCATCTTGCCGAGGGGCTGAAAGTTGACCAGATGAGCCAAGAAATACTGGCGATGAGGAAGAGGGAACCCAGGATGGCGGCTGCAACCTGAACCTTCTCAATGACCGTCAGAGAGATGGCCTGCCACTGTGGGGGAGAGAGTGGCCAGTTAGCAGTCGTTTGGATGCCCTCATCCCATTCCCACCCCTCTTCCGTCTGCTGCTCCAACAGCCCACCTCTGATTTAAGATTTAAGCCAGGGCTTTCCAACCTGTGGTACAATGTGCATTTTGCAGGTTTCTGAATTTCACATTGAACTTTAGATGCAGAGAAAATATCACACCAAATGATCACAGTTAATTGTAAGGAGGGGGCTCTAGGTGGGCATGGTTGGAAAGGAAGACCCTTAGACTTGATTATGATATAGACAGAGAAATGGAGAGAATGACGAAAATGCAGAGCTAGTGAGGGTGGTGTTCTAGGCCCCCTGACTTTTTTTTTTTTTTTTGAGACGGAGTCTTTGCTCTGTCGCCCAGACTGGAGTGCAGTGGCATGATCTCACTGCAAGCTCCGCCTCCCAGGTTCACCCCATTCTCCTGCTTCAGCCTCCTGAATAGCTGGGACTACAGGTGCCCGCCACCATGCCCGGCTAATTTTTTTGTAGTTTTTAGTAGAGACAGGATTTCACCATGTTAGCCAGGATGGTCTCGATCTCCTGACCTCATGATCTGCCACCTCGGCCTCCCAAAGTGTTGGGATTACAGGCGTGAGCCACCGCGCCTGGCCTGCTCCCAGATGATTCTTTTCAGAGAAACACAGTCTATTTTCTAACTAATAGGTGCTGAGAGTGCACAGGCTTTTTGTTTTTGATTTTTGTTTGTTTGTTTGTTTTCTTGCTTTCTACAACATCACCTTGCATGCCACTTAATTTATATGCTAGAGGTTACCAATTCAGTAGACCAGGGAATGAGATGTGGGGAGAGAGAAGAAAAAACAGCTTATTTTACTGAATGTATATCAACACTATTATTTCATTTTTTAACAGAAAAAGCCCTGTTCTTATAGCAGTATTGACAGGTGGGTTAAAGGCTAGGGTGTGGGTGAGTTTCAACACTGAAATTCTATGATTCTATGGTTGGTCCAGGCAGTATAGGTCTGAAGGAGTCAGGAGTTAGATTTTTAGCTTGGGGTTTATTCATGCAGTTACTCAAGGAATACATATTGAGTATTTTCTATGCGCTGGCCACTATGCTAGGTGTTGGCAATGAAGCCCTAGGCAAAAACAGACAAGGTGCCTGCCCTTATGGAGCTTATAGTCTAGGGAACTTAGACAACAATATAATTATTTGCACATGCAATTCATCAAGGGTAAGTCAGGGAGGAACACGGCACAGTGAGAGCCGGTGACAGGGGGATTCGACTTCCTAGAGGAAGCGATGCTTGAGTTGACTAGGTTACTAGTCAACTAGGCAGTGAAAGGAGGGAAGACTGCTCCCAGCAGAGGGAAGAGCATGTGCAAAGGCCTGTGCCAGAAGAAAGCATGGGAAGGATAAAAGCCTGGGAGAAGATAAGAGTGGGTGGAGTGAGACAGCAAAAGAGCTTGTGGGGTGAGACAACTGGAAAAGGAAGAATGAGAGATCACACAGAACCTTGTAGAATATGCAGAGACTTTGTGCTTTGTCCTAAGTGTAGATGTGATAATATGAATGGTTTTATGCAGAGGACTGACAGGATCAAATTTGGGAAAGTGGGGGGAAGGACATCTTTCAATTGGAGACATTTGCATAACACTCTGCAAAGAACACCCCCAGAAAGCATTTCACTCTGAACTCTGAGAAAAGGCAGACTATTTTCCCTCTGCCAACAGGGAGACCTGGATGGAAGCATTGATTCATTCTGGCTGTAGCTGGGATTGGCCTGGCCAGTGGCCCCCAGGGAATTGTAACTGTAGGGAAGCATTTCACTTGCTGGTCCAGACGCAGGACATGAGCCTCTACATTTAATTATACAGATAGGCTTCATTACAGGTAACTGGGGCTTTACATTTTCCACTGTTTCCCCTGCCTAGGGTTACACATAATGAAAGGATTTTCCAGAAGATGACTTCATCATACAGACTTCTTTCATGCACAACAAATGCTTTTTCCAGGGCCTGCCCTGCTGCCTGGAAAGAGGGCTTCTGGCTGAGTTTTTGTTTCTACCATTGAGGCATCCATAATCCTCACTTTCTCCTGCTCCTCTAGACTTCAAAAATGCCAAATATAGAGGCACAGAAAGCTTCTCTTCATCCCTAAAACCCCTTCTACCAGCTCTGAAGCCAGCTGTGGAACCTAAATGGGGCTTCTGACTGCAGCGTAAAGCGTGACGAAGGAGCAGGGTGGGGTGCTATGGACAAGGCACTCTCCTCCTGTCTGTCCCATATGAGGCTCCACAGAGATGACGGAGAAAGCAGAGAGTGAGTGAGCTCTGAAAACTCACAGGAGGGCTGGGAGGGGGAGATGGGCACCCGGGGTACCAGGTTGCCACCAGATCCCCACTCTGATCTCAGTATCATGAGGTTTCTCCATCCCCTGAACTCTCATCCTGCAGCACCAGTGAACGGAGAGACAAGGGGAAGAGCACAGAGACCGGATGTTGTGCGTCTTAGAACAGCAAGGAGCACTGAGTGAGGGATCAGATGACCCGATCCTGACTGGGCTCTGCTCCTACGCGCTGAGTGTGACCTAGGAGAAGTCAAGAAATCATGAGGACCCTCAACTTTCCTTTCTGTAAAATAGAAATAATTGGTCTTTCCTGCTTCCTAGAGTGTTATGTGAAATGAAATCACTCTTGAACCGTGCTTTGAAGGGCGTTCTTAATGATGTTTCCGCAAAAATACAGATCAGCGTGTCAAGGCGGGGGTATTCCCAAACGTGCCTGTGCAGAGGGTAAGACCTGGACCCACGAGTCAGACCCCCACATCCACTCTACCACTCAGTAGCTGTGTCAGCCTGGGCACGTTGCTGAACCCTTCTGTGCCTCCATCGTCACATCTGTAGATTAGGAAAAATAATAGTGCCCACTTCACTGGGTTGTTTTCAGGACTGAATTATACAATATATGTGAATATTTAGAACACTGACTGGCACCTAATAAGCACTAACTAAATGTTCATTAATAATTGCAATTCAGATGTAACAAAGAGAGGGTAGGAAGCAGCCACAAGGCCTTGAGACCCTCAGAGCCATGCTGTGCCTCCTTCCTCAGTGGTTCTTCTGGCTGGAAATATTGCTTCTGGAGGGTCGCTAAGCTGATGCCCCATAGGACACTAAATAGTGTATTATTTCTCACTACTTTTTTTTCTTTGTTTCTGAGACAGGATCTCGCTCTGCCACCCAGGCTGGAGTGCAGTGGCATAATCATAGCTCACTACAACATAGACCTCTTGTGCTCAAACAATCCTCCCGCCTCAGCCTCCTGAGTAGCTGGGACTACAGTCATGGGCTACTATGCTTGGCTAATTTTTTTTGTTTTTAGTGGGTCTGGTTTTTTTGCCTGTTATGGTGTTTGGTTTCTGTCTTGTGGTGTTGTTCTCGCCTCGGCTCTGCTTCGTGCTGTGCTGGGATTTGTGGGGTGCTCTGCCTGGCCTATTTTTTATTTCTTTTTTTGGGGCCTGTACTTTGATGTCAGTTCTTCTGGTGACCTGTCCGGCCTTTTGTCTTTTTGTTTGCTGTTGTCTTCTTGGGTTTGGCCTTTCTCTTTTCCTTCTTTTTTTGTGGGTCCTTCCTTTTTTCTTTTCCTTTGTTTTTGTTCTTTCTTGGTTTGGTTTTTGCATTCCTTTGTTTGTCCATTGTTTTTTGTCGGTTTTTTTTTTGCTTGTTGCTGGTTCTTTGGTTTTGTGTCTGTTTCCTTGTGTTTTTTTGGTCTCTTCCTCTTCTTCTTGGTTTCTCTTCCGAGCTACTTCCTCTTTCCTTTGCTCTCCTGCTGTGCGATGGCGTTTTCTGTGCTTGCCCCCTTGGCTTTTCTGGTTTCTTTGCCTCAGAGTGCGCTTCCTCTAGTGTGTGTTAAGCCTCTTGCTGTGGCAGGTGGTGTGGGGGCTCCGGGCTCGGTGTCTCTGGCTGGTCGTCGTTTGTTGTTGCTGCCGCTGCTTTTTTGTTCTTTTGGTTGTGAGGTTGTACTTGTCTTTTCGTTTTTTGCCGCTCGGGGAGCGTTGTTCGTTGATGCATTTTCTGTTTCTGGGCTGATGGTTGCGCTTGGGCGGGGTGTTTTGGGGTGGGTTGCTCGGTTTGTCCTCTTGCCGTTTGTTGGGGCTTGGTGTTGATGCTGAGACCTGGGGTGGTTAGTGGGTTGGTGCTGGTGGTGGGGCTGGGAGCCTGTTTTGTGCGCTGTCTGTTGGCCCTGGTCTTTTTTTGGGGTTTGCGGTTTTGACATGGGTTGCCTGTGGTCCTGGCCGCCGGGCATGGGATCTCTTTCTTGTTGGTTGGTATACTTCTCAGCTGTGTGCGGTTGCTGGTGCTTTTTGTGGTACCTTGCTGTTATTTCCTAGGGTTCTAGGACGCTTGTTTGTGTGGCTTCTGTGGACGCCTCTGCTGTTTCTTGTGGTTTGTCCGGGTGCAGCTGCGTGTGTTTTAAGGCTTGGCCCCTGGCTGCCACCTCTGTTGGTGCTTCGGGCTGCTCGTCCATACAGATACCCCATGGTCGCTCGTGGCGCGTGAATTGGCATTCTCCGTCCTGGGTTTTCGGGACTGCCGCCATCAGCTCTAGCCAGTGTAGATGTGGGGATCTAGGATGTTGGGCAGATGCCCTCACTGAAGGCCTGGGTCCCTCCAGCCACCCTTGGGCCTGGCTGGGGTTAGCTGGGAAGCCCAGCTTGGAGGAGTTGGAATCAGAGAGGCCGAGGACTCAACTGAGCAAGATGGTGTCAGGATTTGAAACCTCCTTTGAGTGGACTGCAGCCTTGGGCTCACTCTCCAGAACGTCCCATGACCATATGTCAGATGGTCATGGCTGAAACCTGTGTTTTTTGTTTGTTTGTTGTTTTTGAAACAGGATCTCACTCTGCTGCCCAGGCTGGAGTGCAGTGGTATGATCGTGGCTAACTGCAATCTTGATCTTCTGGGCTCTAGTGATCCTCTGGCCTCAGTCTCCCAAACAACTGAAACTACAGGCATGCACCACCATGTCCGGCTAGTTCTTTATTTTTTTGTAGAGATGGAGTTTCATCACATTGCCCAGGCTGGTCTTGAAATTATGGATTTCCATCTGCCTCTATAATCACGCACTTGGCTGCAGACTGTAGAATCGGCTCTTCCTTCTAAGATTCCTGGAATCGTATTTCTTTTCCATTTCAACTCCTATCACTCAAGGATCTCACAGTGGCCTGGAAGAGGTTTGGAATGTCCTTTTGCACCTGGTCTACCTGTCAGCTGTTACTCTCTGTCTTCAAGATGATTTGAATGCCGCCTCCTACTGGAAGTGGTCCCTGGCTGCTCTAGGTTGAGCACAGTGCTTTGAGCTCTGAGTGCCTTATGCTGAGTGACTTGGGTACATCCCTGTTAGCATGCTTGGCGCATCATTATGAGGATCTACGCATATCCCTGTCTACCCACCAGAGGAGCCCCACAAGGCAGGGTGAGGTATTCATCTTTGCACCCCTTTCCTCCAGTGGCAAGCCGTGTACCCAAGGTGCAAGCCCTAAGTAAGTTTTCATGTTTGAATAAGTACATGAAAAAATAAATCAAGTGTCTTCTCGGGTTGCCCGCATTGCCTTGTGGAACAGGAACGAGATGCCCACTCCATGAGAATGGGAACCACATCCATTTTGTTAACTCTGGGAACAAACATCTTGCTCAGTGCCTGGCACTCTGTATTTGTGCAATGAATGAACTTGGCAGAAACGCTCAGGTGCTCATCCCCATGAAACCCTCCTTGGTTCCCCACTCTGCTCCTCCAGTATCAACAGGCCCCCTTTGCTGTGGCTCCAGGCCCTTCCCATACCCTCTGTTATAGCGCGCCCCCATTTGCCCCTCACAGGGACAATGTCTTACCCATCTTTGCAGCCCTAACATCTAGTAAAGGGCCTGGTAAATTTTGATACTCAACACAACTTTGAGAGCTGAATGCATGCGTATCTGTCTTATGAACGAGAGGTTTTGCTTCTCTAGGACATGGCCAGCCTTTGGCTCCAGGTAGGCAGCCACCTCCTGGAGAGGAAAAGAAGAGGCGGGACATGCCCACGTTGCTGGGCACTCGGCACACTCATCAAGGCCTAAGTGCCCTTGTACTGAGGAGCTGCTATATGACTCTGCAAAGGAAACAGGAGGGGGTGAGTGGAGAGACGTGCTGGGGGAGGGGCGAAATTCCTCATTATTCGTGGCAGCATTTCCAGGCTCATTAATTCTAACAGGATGAGCTGGGTTTGATTAATCGGGTTGTTAAGCAGCCATGTCAAATTGCCCATCAGGTAAGAGACATTACTTCTGGTCCCTGGCAACGGTGCTGAGCGACAGTGAAGTCTCCACGCCTTGCTTCCCAAGCAGCAGCCAAGAGAGAAGCCGGAAGAGCTGCTGCCTGGGGCACAGCTGATAACAATACCTGGGCTCTGGTTGTGGGACCATCAGGGCTCACGGGAGCCCCCCCCCGAGCCTCAGCATGCAAATCTGGGTGGAGAAAGGAGGAGCGTGACCTGGCCTAATCCCAGTGACTGGCTAAGGGTCAAGAGGGCAGGACTATGCTGCTTCCCCTCCAGAGAATCATTCATTTTCCTTTAGGGAGAAGAAAAACCCCAAAAGGCAACATAGGGACTTGCTGCTGGCATTACAAATATTAGAAAGCAAGGATGGTCTGGGTGAGGTGGCTCATGCCTGTAAGACCACACTGTGGGAGGCCAAGGCAGGTGGATCACTTGAGGTCAGGGGTTCAAGACCAGCCTGGCCAATATGGCAAAACTCCATCTCTACAAAAAATACAAAAATTAGCTGGCCATGGTGGCATGATCCTAAAATACCAGCTACTCAGGAGGCTGAGGCAGGAAAATTGCTTGAACCCAAGAGGCAGAGGCCGAGGTTGCAGTGAGCAGAGATGGCACCAGTGCAGTCCAGCCTGGGTGACAGAGCGCAACTCCATCTCAAAAAAAAAAAAAAAGTAAATAAAGCAAGGACAACAAACTGTTAGAAAACTTTAACTTTGATAAAGGAAGTGATGATCAGGGATTTGCTGTGGGGGTTGGGGGGAATCCAGAAACAAGCTATTTTAACTCTGGCATTCAGGCAAGTTTTGTGGGTTATGATTTAGTGTATTTCTATGTACATTTCGGGGAAAGCCCATCATCTTTTTAGTGTTTAGGGCTTCTAAAAAGCTTTAACAGGGACTCTTTGCCAACTTCTACTGGTCAGACCTGTATGTCTCCAAGAACAACAGAAGTGGAAATGAGCCAGATGGATTCAGGCTAAACTTAGGAAGACGCTCCTTGCAGTAAACTCTGTTAAAAACCAAAATGGTGCTACGTGGACACTGAGGTGAATTCCTGCCCCGTCTGCCCTAGTAAAATTCTCTCAATATAATAGATATCCCTAACTGAGGAGAAAGGTTAACTGACTCCCTCAAGGTCACACGGCCATCAGACTCTGAGCTTCACCACCTGCTCTGCTCATCCGCCTTCCATCCTCTGGTTCCTGCTGCCCCACGTGCACCTGTGCCTGTAAGTCTCCCCTTCTCCAGGTCCCACCCCAATTCCTGGCCCAGCTCAGACCCTCAGCCAAGTCTCCCATCATTACCCACAGTTTTTCACTTCATCATTTTCAAATGCTCTGAGATTAGAGCTGCTCCTACACACCCCATAGAACTGAGCACATCAGCGATGTACAATTAAAGTGTGCTTACTAATTGAACAGGCCCCAGGGTATGGGAAAAGACAAGCCCTTCTGGCCCAGCTACTGAGGCTCCAGCATTTGGGCTGGGAGGATTACTGTGATCTTGTTTGCAGAGCTCAGCAAACTCCACAGATCAAAGGGGCTCATTAATGCACAGGGCACCAGACACTTCCTCAATGATCTGCTCAGAGTGTTGGGGCCAGAGACTGCCCTGGGAATGACTGAAACAAGGAAAATGGGATCTTCTCTAATCATCTGGGCCCCAAGGGACACGCTGTGGGGGAGTGGTGAAGAACATGGTTTTGGGAAACAGCTGCTTCATTTTGGAGTGTCTGTTCACCAGCTGTGCAAATTTAGCCAAATCTCTTAACCTCTCTGAGGCTCCATTTCTTCATCTTTCTATGGCAAGTAACTCTTACCTCCTCAAGGGTAGTTGTAAGGATTTTTTTTTCCTTTGAGACATGATCTCACTCTGTTGCCCAGGCTGGGGTTCAGAGTGGAATGATCATGGCTTACTGCAGCCTTGACCTCCCCAGGCTCAAATGATCCTCCCACCTCAGCCTCTTGAGTAGCTGGGACTACAGGCACATGCCACCATGCCCAGCAACATGTATTGTATTTTTTGTAGAGATGAGATTTCGCCATGTAGCCCAGGCTGATGTCAAACTCCTGGGCTCAAATGATCCTCCTACCTCAGCCTCCCAAAGTGTGGGGATTACAGGCGTAAGCCATTGTGCCTGGCCTGTAAGGATTAAATGAGATCATGCATGCAAAGGTTTGACACAGTGCATGGCACAAGTAAGTCCTCCTGTTAAACTGTTACAATTCTAACTCACATTTCTGTAAGAACTTTAATGTCATAGTTTTTTCTTCTACAACTCTATTTCCTACTGTCACTCTAAGACGGGTGAAACAGATAAGGAACGGAATGACTGCCGAAAGAAAAGAGTCAGTTGAGTCACCAAAAACAGTAAAGATTAAATAATTTTCTAAGAGACTCTGCCCTTCTGGGATGGATAAGGGACCCTGACTTCTAGCCCAAGATCATCCCTTGGGTCACCATGGGGACACTGGGAGCATCTGGGGAACCTTCTTTTCAGGGGATGCCAAACAGAAGAAGAGTGCAGGCCTTTTGTATGGATTAAGTGGGGTCGTGCTAGAGGCAGGAGGCAGGAGGGATGGAGCTGGTGGGAGGGAGAACAGATGTATTTCGCTCACTGCAGTGGGAGACCATAATATGCCTCCCCAAAATACGAAGGCGTGTTGAGCTAAGACGATTAAGAAGCAGCAGATTTAGGAGAGCTCTCTTCTCTTTCTCTATTTGCATAAAAGTAGGACTTAGATTTACAAGGACAAAAGTTATCCTGTCTCCCCGTCTCCATCGGGAGAACAAAAGTAAACACTGAAGACAGCTTTAGACTCTCATTAACCTCCAGATGACACCAGAGGAATTTATATATCTCTATCTATGAATATATTTAAAAATTTAATATAAATAAATGTATAAAAATATAAATAAATATATATATGTATATATATTTTTTGGAGACAGAGTCTCTCTCTGTCACCCAGGTTGGAGTGCAGTGGTGCAGTCTCAGCTCACTGCAAGGCTTACTGCAATAGAGGAATTTATATTAACAAAGTTTACTAAAGTTTTTCTGCCCTTTGTTTTCTTTCCCCCGGAGTTGCTGCCCATAAACACTCAAAGTCCTTTTCCTTTGTCTTGCCACTTCTCTAAAAATAGATTGTTTTTGTTGAAGATGCTATATTAGCCAGAGTTCTAAGCCAGTGAATTACCTTTCATTGAAGTTTCTCCTACGTGATA